TATTTGAAAGAGAGAGAGAGAGAGTGCCCACAAGCAGGGGGAGCGGCAGAGAGAGAAGCAGGCTCCCCGCTGAGCAAGGACCTGATATGATGCGGGGCTCAATCCCAGGATCCCGGGATCATGACCTGAACCAAGGACAGACGCTGAACTGACTAAGCTACCCAGGCACCCCTATGTTATACATTTTAATTGTCTGTCAGTGAAGACTTAGAAAACTAAAGTAGAAGGAAGAGAACAGAATGGACATTTGTTTCCTGTTGCTGTGAAGGACTTACATGAAAATTACCAGCAGGAGGGGGGCTCAGGACAGTGCCAGACATCCTAAAGGAGGGAATGCCAAAAGAAAGAGAAGGGACATGCTCGCCCTCCTGGGGATCGGGGAGCTTTGGGTCAAACAACAAGGCGTGATTTTACTCATAGTCAGGTAGACACACAGAAGGAAGTGATAGAACCCAGTCCTGGGTAGCAGCAGAGGACCCCTGACCATACACTGCCGTGGTCCTTTGGGAAGATACCTGGAACTATCCATCAAAAGCTATAAAAATCCTTCCTCTGGTCAAATAATTCTGGTGGGAAATTTTTCCCAGGTGTTCACTCTGTTAGCAAAGCCCTGGCAACAACAGGAACCACAGGCAGCTTTTTCCAGGGGCCTGCCATGTGCCTGCTCCTTTCATTTTCACAGCAAGCCTGCAGAGAGAGGTTGCTGGCCTGTCCCACCTCAGAAGAGGAAGCAGAAGGGAGTTGAGGCACCTGCCCAAGCATGTGAGGTTGGGAGAGCCCCGGGACAGCCCAGTGGCCTCACTTAGTATTTTTCTGGAGAGTTGAAGCCGTGCAGGAGAATGTGCTGATTCCCAGGCCCGATGCCTCACGCCTCCCCCTCTCCCGCTGCCCCGCCCCGCTCCTTAGTCTGGACCCTCCTTCAGCACACTCTCCCCAGCAGGATGCCCCCCTCCTGCATCACGAGTCTTCCCTGTGCTGCTGAGTTACTCCTGTCAGTTTGTGAAGAGGTGGCAGTGTGGCCCCCTTTCTCTTCATAGCAGAGCTTCTGGGGAGGCATGTAAACTCACCTTCCTTATTGCTGTCTTTCAGTTGTTATAATTAACAATCTAGGAGAGTGCACAATACACAGTCTAAAGGGCAACAGTGAATGGACACCCAGGTGACCGCCTCCCAGAGCAAGGACCAGGGCAGGGCCAGGCCCCAGCATGACCCCTGTCACCACCTGCCATCCGTGGGCCCACGTCTTGACACTGGCCACATCTTTCCTCTGAGTCTTTTCCACGTAGTTTTTCCACTGATGTGTGTTCACTTGGCAAGATAGTCACTCATCCACTTAACAACTCTGAGTGTCTGGGCTTTGTGAGCACGAGCTGTGGTGAATGACACAGAAAAGAATCCTGCCTTCCAGCACAGCCCTCCCCGAGGTAGCAGGATGGTGGGCCAGGGCCAGGCAGACCGGGGGGCCCAGCTCTGCTGTGACAGCTCCGTGCTCCAAGCGGAGATGCTCAGCCCCTCTGCAAAGTCTCCCCGCCTGGGAACGAGCAGACACTCTTTAAGTGAGTCAGTCTGTGCCAATGAGTGAATGAGAGAGAATCACGCCGGGACGTGCCTGTCTCCCTGAGCAGGGTGTTCGCTGGTAAATGCATTGTGCCCAGAGTCTCTTCACCTCTGGGTGGGGAACATGGGGCTGCCAGGGGAGCCAGTGGATAGTGTTTTATACAGATCACTGCGCTGGCCAGGGAAGGCCTGGTGGCAGGGGCCATTTGGGAATGGAAATGAGAGTTCGGGGTAGCCGTCCTTCATTTGTCACATTTTAAGAACCTTTGAATCTAAATCACCGATGATTTTCTTCTCTGTTTTGCTTTTCAGAAAAATCAGCTAAGTTCTTAGAAAGCCACTTGATGTAGATCCATGACATCGCCAGTTACACTTGTTAGTAATTTGGGGCCTTTTCCATTTCATTTCAGCTCTGATCACAAAGCTGCACTCTCTCTTCTGGCTGCCCTTTCGCTCGTCGTGATTTTCGCACTGGTTCAGAGGAGGTGCTCTCTGACGTCAAAAGTAGCCATGGCACTTGGCCTGCTGGGCGTCTATTGCTACCGGGCGGCCATTGGAAATGTCCTGTTCCCATGGCAACAAGACAGCAAAGACATTTCAAAGTAAGTGCACTGGCAAATCGATTTCATGTTTTAGGTACTAAAGCAGGCCGTGCAGTCTTGAGAACTTTGGAGTTGGTTCCTGCGACTTGTGATCTCAGCAGTTACTGGAGCCTGACAAGGAATGCCTCAGTGAACGGATTCTTTTAGCTTCTTTGTTTTGGGAGGCGAGAGACATATAATGCAGTAAGGCCACTGAGCTTTCTTTTTTAAAATAAGGGGTTCCCTGAAAATAAGGAATTTAAAGGGTTTACTTTTGCTCAGTTAAGACATAGTAACAGCAGTCACAAAGAGTGGATGCTTCCTAGCAGTTGGGAAATAAAGGCACACCAGAAAAATCAGCTCTCCCATAATTTACGGTGAGCTCCGGGGGTGGGGAGGGCCCCCTCGTGCTGAGTCATGAAGGCCACTTTTTGTCACAGACTGGCAGCTTTTCTTTTCTTAATGGTGATGTGGGGTGGGGTGAGCAGAGGCCATCCTGGCGGCTGTTTGTAAAATGTGTTAAGAACCTTGAGTGTGTCCAGCCCTCTGACCTGGGCGCCCTCTTATGGAATGTACCTCAGGAATCCACCCAGAGACGAGGCCTGATACCGGCACACAGGCAGGCTCTCTGAAAACTGATTTACAGGTACACATAATACAAAACAAGGTAATTGGCCAACAGTGGTGGGATGAGCCTCTGAATGATGTTAAAGCTCTGTGCTGACTAGTGTGCTTTCATAGAAGACATGAAGATGTGGATTGACAGGCTGTAAAACTATTGTATGACCCCATCTTATGAAGTATGTACATATTTTTTTTATGTTTGTATGAAAGACTAAAATAGGTAATTGGTTGTGATTATATTTAGGACATGGAATCACAGGTAGCTTGTGCTCTTCCTTTTCATGCATTTTTTTATTGCTTTTCTAGTCAGAGAAAGAAAAGCAAATGTCATCTTCTCTGAAAAGGTCGAGGTGTAAGCTGAGGGCTGTGACCAGGCTGTGTGGGTGCCCAGGAGCCATGGGGCACACCTGGAAGCAGGACCTGCCGACGGTAGGGGCAGTTGAGGTGACGCCAAGACCCTGGCTGAGGTGACAGCAGGGTGGCAGGCCTTCTCCTGAGGCAGCGAGGTCAGGTAGGGGGCGGATGGTGGGGAGACATCTCAAAGGCTGTCCACTTTGGAGCCTGAGACTCTGAGCAGATGTCAAGGCTGGGCATCACGTTTGAGGGTGTTCAAGTGTGAAACATGAATACATTCCTCATTTCCTCTCAGATCAATGCACCTAATTTCGTGATCACTCATCTCAAGACTTGAACCACTTGCCTTTCGTGGACGCCACAGCATATACCTTGTTGGTGTCCAGAGCAGAGACCAGTGCACCCTTTCGTTAACCTGCGGGGCTTGCCTCACGTTCTTCCTGGGAAATGCTTCCATTCCCCACCTCCATCTGTCCTGGTTCCAGCTCCGTCTGCTTCTGGATCTGCTGCAGTACTAGAGCCATCCTGGTTCCAGCTCCGTCTGTTTCTAGATCTGCTCCAGTACTAGAGCCATCCTGGTCCTAGCTCCCTCTGCTTCTAGCTCTGCCCCAGTTCCGGAGCCGTCAGGTTCTAGATGGCTCTAACAGCTGCTTCCCACTGTTCAGTCCGAAGCTGTCCATCGGTATTCTAAAATCTTCTTCACCACTCTGAATCCCAGGCTTGGCTGGAGTGGAAGGCCAGATTGCCATGGTCCTAGACGTGCGGGAATGGCATTGCATGGTTTAGGGCAAGCAGTTGGAGCCCTAGAAGGCATCCGCTGCTGCTCTCTTTCCTGTTCACCACCCAGACTGCCCCGGCAGGCATTCTTCCGCTCTGATGACTCGGGACCTTGGCTGATTGCTCCTTCTTTAACCCTTGTGGGTCAGTCATCAGCTTTCCGTTTAGTACACGCCTTGGTGACGCAGTTGCACCTGACCCCAGCTCCTTGGCCAGTGCGTGAGCCCATGGCAAGTGTCTACACACTGGAGGAGGCACACAGCAGACAGTGGTCTGACGGTGCGATTTAAACTATGCTTTAATAAAAGGAATTTTTTTAAGTGCATAAACCTTCCTAAGGAAATCTGAGATAGGACAATTGTTTTTCAAAACAGATACAGGAAAATTCAGTTTTTCAAAACAGATACATTATTATGGTGATGATTTCATTTAAAATTTAATTTACTTAGCATTACTTTAAAGGATTAGCTTTTCTTGTATATATAAAATATTTGATTTATGAAATTTATTTAAAATGTGTTGTAGGGATGCATGTGTTTCATAAGATGAAATTTTTTGATAGAGTGTCATAAATTATATCCTTTACAAATAATTGGAAATGAAGTGCTAAAATAGTTCTTTTTTTTTTTTTTAGATTTTATTTATTTATTTGAGAGAGGAGTTAGGGAGAGAGAGCGCAGGCAGGGGGAGGAGCAGAGGGAGAGGGAGAAGCAGACACCCCACCCCCCCCACCCCCCGCTGAGCAGGGAGCCCGACAGCGCGGATCTTGACCCCAGGACCCTGAGATCCTGACCTGAGTGAAGGCAGACTCTTCACCGACTGAGCCCCACAGGTGCCCCTAAAATATTTCTTAACCCTTAATACTTGTTGTGTGCTGCGCACTTTACCTGTGTTCTCTTGTTTAATCCCCAGGACAGCTTATGAAGTGTAGGTACCATTTCTCTTCATTTTAGGAAGGATGAAGCCTTAACTAACTTCCCCAACGGCAGAGCTAGTAAGTGGCAGAGCCATGACTAACCTGGCCCTGACCTTCTCTAGGCCCCACAGTGCGCACTGCACTTGGTTACTTGGTTGCAAACCTGTCTGAATGTGTCTTAACATTGTGAGCTCAGCGACGTTTCTGACAGAGCTTGGCCTTATCCTGCTGCAGTGGTCTGTCAGACCCACCGTGAAGCAGCTGGATGGTTTTTCTTGCACCAGGCTATCCTTGGGCCAAATGAGCGAGATTTCCCAGAAGCCAGTTCCACCACAGAAGTGCACAGAGAGAGGACAGGCCTGCCAGCCCCTGGGCAAGGGGGCTCCTGGGGGGCTGATATGCAGAAGCAGACACCCCCACTTCCACAGAGTCACCCAGGTGGGCAGGTGCTACGGCTTACTTAGCTTAGGTAGACACGTGGTTTTCATGGGAAGAGTATGTATGAGTTTTTTGAGCTGGTGCTAACGAATCAAACTTGTTTTGCTTTTTTTTTTAGGGGTGTTATTGAAGCTCGTTTTGTTCATGTCTTTGTCCTTGGCATTCTGTTCACGGGCACCAAAGACTTGCTTAAATCTCAAGTCATTGCTGCAGACTTCACAATCAAGACTGTGGGTTTATGGGAGATATATAGTGGATTAGTTCTTCTGGCCGCTTTGCTTTTTAGACCACATAATCTGCCAGTCTTAGTGTTTAGCCTCTTCATTCAGACTATAATGACTAAATTCATCTGGAAGCCTCTGAGGCATGATGCACCTGAGATCACTATAATGCATTATTGGTTCGGTCAAGCATTCTTCTATTTCCAGGTAGGTTTTCATTATTATCGTGGATAGAAATCTATTAACTTTTTATATGTCATTTATCTTTTTTCTTTGAGAAAATTTACCATAAGTTGGGAAGTTAGAAAGGTTGTTCGGTGAAGGAACTTTAAGTGTGGTGTGGGGAATGATGCTTAAATCCTGTGTGTATTTGATAGGATAAAATACACTTAGTTATCTAAGACTGACACCTTCGCTATGGATCCAGGAGTGCTTAAGACAGCGTATTAAGCACTGTACGTTGTGTACTGGATCTGTTTACCATGACCCGTTAGGGACACCCATCACAGTTCCATTGCTTTACCTGATGAGGTGATGACTGAACTCTCTCTGCCCGTTCCCCTGGCCATGAGTGCCGAGTGCTGTTGGGTGTCCTCACTTGGTCCTCAGTCCCCTGGGGCCCCGTGGTCATCATGTCTTCTCTCCAATGTTAAAGGGCCCACCAGAGGCAAGTCGAAGCTGCCTCTGGGATGGATCTCAGTATTTGCCCATGTGCTTGGAGCGGCACCTGGACAGGTGGACAGAGGGACCAGCTCCTGGTCTGGGAGGGACTCAGTTCCATCCCAGCCTTCCCGCATCTCTGCCCTGGTTCAGGGGGCCCCACACTCCCCTACCGGCTCCGCACCCTCTGGCAGAGGAACTGTGCACAAGCCCCTGAGCATCTCTGTTGTGTTTTCCCATCTTTAAGGTGAGGATCTGTACTGTCTCTGTGCACCAGGTTCTCCCTCTTTCAGTCCCTGGGGACTTGTGTGGTCTGTGTGTCCCGACAGGTGGGCCTGGGGCTCCTTCCCTGCCCTTCCTACTTCTCCCTCCTTTGCTGGCACTCCTGGTCTCACCCACAGAGCAGGCCCCCCCCACCCCACTGTTCTCTGTCTGTTCCCGGAAGCCCAGAGAGGGGTGCGGTGGAGGGAGTTCTAGAAATCATGTCCTGGAGGATGTGACCTGAGACCCTCAGACCCTCCTTACCATCCATCTCCCCTGGAGGACCCCCGTACTTCTCAGTCCAGCCCTGCACGTGGGTGGCTGGAGCCCCGACACTGGTGTCTGGCACTTCTGAGCCAGATGGCCTCTGGCAGCACCTGCTGTGCCCTGGTCGCACTATAAAATGGGCTACTCCACAGCCGTCTCCCCCTCGGCTGCTGTAAGGATCGAGTAGTGACAAACAGGAGGTAGGCATCCTGTGTAGTCGCTCTCTGTGCTTGCTGGTGTTCCGCAGGACCTATAGGGAAGGCATGACTGGGGTCTGTAGGACCTGGAGAGGGACCGCACCTCCCTGGAGTTGCTGCCCATCCCGGGAGGTGTTGGTGACTGAGGACCGCACTGGCGACCAGCACACAGCGCCTGGGGACGTGCCGGTCAGCTCCGCCCCGGGCAGGCTGGCCTCTGTTGAGCCTCACGGGCTTTCAGCTGTGTGTGTCCCCATGGTGTCAAGCAGCCCTGTCTCAAAGGCCACACCTTTTCTTACCTATCGGAAGAAATGTAAGAGGTCACCAACCTTGTGGATGTGAGGGAACGCAGTTTGCCCAGGAATTCCAGAATGCCCGCTGGGAAGGGGACGAGGTTAAAGGAGGCAGTTGTAAACACTGCACCACGAGCTGCAGAGGAGAGAGGCACGGGTCTGGAGTCTGCTTCTGGGTGAGACTCGCTCTGCCTTGTTGGTAGCGACACACCTGTGTTAAGGTTCTTTCACGCTTGGCCATTCAGTGTAACTGATGTGTTGCCGTAGAAGGACTTCAAGCTTTGCTAAGCATTCCTGCAATTTCTAGATGACCTGTCAGCCTCACAGTCCTCTCTTTGAAAGTCATGCGCAGGCCTCTTCTGGTGGTGGCCTCCGTCTCTGACCACGAGTGCCTGGGTGGGGAATGGGAATGCCATCACCGTGGAAAATCACCACGCCCCTCTCCCGAGTCCAGGCTCCCGGGCACCGTGCTGGACAGCGACCACGTCCAGTGAGCACAGAGGGCACCAGGGGTGTGTGGATAGCCGGGGCTCCTTGCGGGCGTGGTCCTGGCGTATCTGCAGATACGGCCTGGTGCTTGTGGACTGGTCGCGTGGTAGACCCTGCTGGCACACGTGCTGAGAGTCCAGCAGGCTGCCTCTTAGTGCGGAAGAAGAAGGTGGCTGCCGCTTAGGCACCCTGGCCCGCGCTGAGGCCTTGGTGTCAGGAAGACTGACGGAGCCACGGTCGTGCCCTGAGCGAGCAGACCGCCTCACTTTCTGTGTGCTCCTCTGCGGCACGTAGCCACATTCCACGGGGCGGTGACGAGGCATTCCCTCACGGCACACGGTGCTGGAACTTGGCAGCGGAATGCGCGTGTCCGATCGCAGCGGCGCCAGTCTGGGCTGGGGGTCTGTCGGCATGCAAAACCAGCACAGACCGCGGCACTTCAGGCAGTGACCAACAGCAGCGCGGGCCTCCCTCGTCTCAACCCTGCCCATAGCCCTTCCGTCACGGTCCCGTCTCCTGGGAGAAGACCTGCAGGCTTGCTGCCCCTCCTTCCTGCCCTCAGCTCGGGGACGCCTGGTCGCACAGGGGTCGGGAGTGTGGCAGCCAGCTGGCCTCCTCTGGGTCTCCGTACCTCAGTGTCCCACCAGTTCACTGAGAGCCACAATGGCACCACGTCAGGACTGTGGAGGATTAAATGAGTAGATGCAAGTAAAGCCCCAGAGCAGGGGACTTCACGGTGTTGGAACCGTGTGTCTGTCGTTGTCGTGCCTCCCCTTGCTGCAGCGCTTGGGACTCTTGTTCTTCCCTCTTCTCAGCAGCTCTGGGGTCTCCTCAGTCTGTAGCGAGGGGCTTCTAAGTAGGAATTCAGTAATCAGGAGAGAACCCAGGCAGCCACGGGCAAAGTGGCTGAAGGGGAAGCTGCACAGTGGAGGTTGCTGTCAGGGGAGGGGCCCGCTGTAAGAGGTGGTGAGGACAGGAGTAAATGCATGTCTTCGAGACATTTGGGAGGTCTGCCACCATGACCTGGCGGCCACCTGCAATGACACAGCAAAGGAGGAGGCAGTGGGGTTCCACTGTCACATCTGTGAAGCCATAAACACCCAGCTGGAGTTGTGTCCTGGGCCATTGATAAGTGGTTCCAGGAGGGGCCTTAGTTGGACTGGGACAGGCAAATGTCAAACTTACAAAGGTCCGGAGTAGCTGAGGAAAAGGACACCAGCAGTGGTAGAGACTGAAAGTCGAGAGAAGAGCTGAATCTAGGAGAGGTTTCCCTTGGATGCAAACCCCACCGTCCTATGCAGGACGAACTATGCATTACCCCCGGGGCTGGGCGGTGACCCACCAGGGTCTCCGGTCTGACACGCCAAGCCCTCCCCGTGACCAGCGTGCCCTGTTCTGCCTAACAGCAGTGTCCACCCATTGAAGGAGCCATTTGGCAACACCACCCCCAGCCTCCCCTTGGCCACCTTGCCTCCCAAGGCCAGGCGCAGCCCTCCAGACAGGTCCCTCAGCACAGGGAGGTCTGTCTCCGGTAGATAGAGCTGAGAGGAGTTTGGAATTTGCCATAGTTCATCATACGACTTTTATTTGTTTAGTTTCTTGGAGGTAGAAGGCATTTCACTTGTTCCTCCCCACCTGGAAGCAAGGCGGGAAGGGGGTGGGCGGGCATCTGGGGCTCCCGTGTGTCCATGTCACCGTGACCGCGTGCGGCTGTTTGTGGTTGCTGGTGGCCACGTCAGTGCTGCGTCTCCCTGTGTTGCAGGGAAACTCCAACAACATAGCCACGGTGGATGTCTCAGCGGGCTTCGTGGGCCTGGACACCTACATGGAGGTCCCAGCTATGTTCCTGACAGCGTTTGCCACGTTCGCGGGGCCTGTGCTGTGGGCCAGCCACTTAGTGAGCTTCCTGAGCTCAGAAACCAGCAGGTGAAGCCCCTTCTTTGTCTTTCAGCACAAAATCTGATGGCAGGTTGACAGTTTGAAGAGAGCATCTTACTCCAGATACAGGGTTCCAAACCCCAAGGGCCAAAAGGTCTTCATCAGTTTTCCTTTCCTTAAATAAGAGTGGACAGTCCAGCATGTAGGCCAGAGGCAGGTGTAAGTGCAGGTCTGTGGCCACCCTGTGTCAGGATGGCTGGGGAGGCTGTGGAGGTATCTAGCTTCAGCTGCTCTCTTCCAGCTCCTACCACGATGTGGTTGCCTGGGGCACAAGAAGGAAAATCTCCTCTGGTTTCCCTGCTTGCTGGTGGCCTCGTTGGGTGGGCCAGGAAGGGAGGGATCTTCTGTTTGGGGCATGAAGACAAGGCATGCTGGCTCTCACCTCCAGGGTCCCTGCTGCAGAGAGGAGCCTGCACAGGCCCAAAGGGCTTCAGGCTTGGTGGCCGTGCCCTGCCCTGCCCTGCCACTGAGAGGCGCCCTCAGGCTCCATGTGGTCCCCCAAACCAATGGGGCAGCCTACGCCACCCTCCTGCCCATCAACACTCCTTGGTGCTTTCTTACTTGTTTACACATTGGTCCTCCCAGAAAGGCGGCTTCCTAAGGCGGGGACTTCGTGGTCTTTGGGCACCACGGTGACTCAGTGCCTGGGTCCTTCCTGGCAGAGTGTGGCTTGAGTGGTATGTGGGCTGTCTGATTCTGTAAAATGGGGTGATGGTGTTGCCTCCTGAGGTTGAGGGGCCTACGTGAGGAGTGGCACAGGCTACAGGCGTGTGAGCAGCCATGCCGGGTTTGTCAGGGCTCCCCCGGTGCCCCACTCCCAGAAGCGCCTTCCCATTTCTTAAGCCACTTGGTTAACCCACAGGCATGCCTCCCCACCCCCACCCCCACCCCCGCCCGGATGCCAGCATCTTGCTCAGGTGCAGGACCAGCCTCCACATGCTGAGTGGTCCGTGGAACATGCAGGGCGCAGCCAGTTAGGGAGACCCCAGGAGGACACTGTTCCTGCCAAATGTACCCCTGTGTCTCCAGTCTTCCAGGGGGGTGTCACCTAGGGGAGGGCAAGGCTTCCTGTCCCTATTACCCCTCTGGCCCCCACTTCTCTGCCCGCTATTAAAAATGCAGCCCTTGTGGTGGTGACTGTGGACCCCACGTTTGAACCTCCCAGGACATGTTCAGGCCCCACCTCTCAGGATCGCACTTGGGGGTTCCCACATACTTCATGGGATTCCTCTCATCCTCGCCCCAGACCAGCTCCTGGGACCCAAGCCTCAGTGACCTTGACTTCTGCCCCCAAGTTCATGTCCACAAGCCACCATCTTCTGCCATTGTACAGTTGCAGAAGGAGTGAAGAGGAGTGTAGGTGTGAGTGGGGTGACACTCTCAAGTCAAAGTTTAGAGCAAGACAGCTAGTAAAGGCTTCAGCTGTGGAGAGCAGGCTTCCTGCTCTAGAGACCTTCTGGCCTCCCCTCTAAATTGCCATGGTTGATTCTCAGCCTCTCAAATGTGAGAGTCTCTTTCCTCCAGCTGGTTTTCCTGAGCACAAGGGAGATGCCTACGAGTCATCGTGTCCTCCTTGGGCACACACTTTGGGACCGTCTATGATAGACTCCTCTTAGAGTCACTGCTGGTCTGGTGGTCAGCGCTTGCAAGTCAAGGTGCTGCTGGCGGAGCGGAGGGATGTTCAGGCTCTCATTCTGTCTGTGAACCCACGTGGGCCGCAGGACCACCACTGAGCCGTGGGTTCTCTCCCCAGCAGGCTCCCTGACATCTCTGTGACTGGGCTTAGGTCAGCTTGGGAGGCCTCAGTCCTCGTCGGCGCCATCATGTGTTGAGCAGTCGGGGCCACAAGTTGGCCTTGGAGAGCTTATCTGCCACAGTGCCTATGGCTCTGCTCTGCACACCATATCTGCAGCCTACAGATCAACTGAGTGGGTGCGCTGGGGAAGATGAGGGCCAGATAGGGAGAGCCTGGGCTTCTAGGAAGAAGAGCTTCCTTGGTGCTGAAGTCACAATTCGATTTTCCTTGCACTTTCCATCTGTTTATATGGGGGAGAAAAAAAGACAAAGCATTTTTTTGTAAGTAAGCTGAAAGCATTTTAACTGGCTGGAGAGTATTATATGATGTTTTCTTCTCCCTAGTATGATATGATGTTTTCCCTAATTAAGGAGTGTTTCTCTTTTATTTTAGAAAAGGGTTTTCTTGTTCTTTTTTAAAAGCTTAAAACATCAATTTTTACTCATTGGTTTTGGGGGGGAGGGTTCCAAAGTCACGAAAACTAGAGCCAGATAAAAATGGTAGAAAAAGAAAATATTTCTAACGGCTCAAAAACTGGGCCCTGGGTGGTCCATGACCCTTGGCTTCAGTTCTGGAGCCTGGTGGCATGGACAGCCATGATGAGCCAGGCTGCAAGGCCTTCATCCATTTCCCTACAGTGCACGTTGTTCTTTGCTGAGGTTGTGGGAAAGGTGACCCTACTGGGTGTTGCTATGGAAGGAAGAAGCCGAGTCTTCTAAATAGGTGATGTTTGCTTTGTGTGAAATTGAAATGCCAGGAGGGGCAGCATCCTGGGAGCTCCATCTCCCTCATTGTCTGGTCAGCAGGCTCTTGGCTGAGCACAGACTCCATGACACTCCCCAGGAGAGGGGTGGCAGCGCCATGAGCCACAAGCTTCATCCATGAAGCTTTTCCTAAGAGTTTCCCTCACCAGATATTGTTGCAGTGGCCCTTGAGGGAGTTAATAAATAATGCCCCAGGGCCCAGCTCCCTCGAGGTCGTCTGCCTGATGGACTGGATCTTGAGTGGGACCCAAGATGTAGGTGCAAGGATTCACCCCAAGGAGCTCATGGTCTGGTGGTGGTAGCAGAGAGATGAGTCAGTTACCTGCTGAGCATGTCACAGAGGTGAGGTCAGAATGGCTGAGCCCCTGAGTCTGCTGGTGTTGGTCAGGATGGCCTCCTAGGGAAGAGCATGTGGGTAGAAGTAATCACAGCCAGTCAAGGTTGCAGGGGAGGAGCACGTGCACAGGGACGAGGCCACAGGATGGTATGCAAGTAGAAGCAAGCAGAGTGTGTTCCCTGCCAGGGGGCGATGCAACAGCTGGAAAACCCAGCAGGAAGAAAGAATGGACACCAAGGCCCAAGATGGGGAGCCAGTTAGGGCAAGGTGAGGGCACAGCGGGGGCAAGAGCTGTGAGCATGAGGGGCCAGGCATCCTTTGGCCCCTGAGCGGCTGTTGGCACCTTTTGCCGGACATTGAGCACACCGAGGGGATCTGAGTGGCACCAGCTAGTGGCGCTGGGTCGCTAGGCCTAAGGAGCCCCTCTGTGGAGCACATGTGTGCACACACACCCATGCACACACACACACGCTCGCTCTGTACCTCAGGGTCTTTGCTCCCCCTACACAGAACTCCTCATTGCTCACCCTTCATGTCCAGACCCTTCCCAGTGTGAGCATGGTGCCCCCCAGGCTCCCCTGAGCACACAGACCATCTACTCCCCACCCTGGGACTCCAGTAATCCCGGGTCCATGTCCCCATACACGGCCATGCTGATGTGAGTCCTACACAGTGAGGATGGCTGCACGTGTAATGGGGGTCGTGCTTCAGGAAAGGGTGGGCAGCGGTGACGTGTGGCATTTACCGGCCCCAGAAAGGCCACCTACACTCATGCAGTGTTTGAGGGGAAGCGTCAGAACTGGAACTTGGCTTTAACCAGAGCCTGGAAAGCCTGGCCTCTGAGGATTTGTGAGGTGAAGTGAGTGAATGATAGAACTTGTCATTTGGAAGGAAGTTGCCTTCAAGAATAGGTTAGATTGGGACGCCTGGGTGGCTCAGTCGGTTAAGCGGCTGCTTTCAGCTCAGGTCATGATCCTGGAGTCCTGGGGATCGAGTCCCGCATCGGGCTCCATGCTCAGTGGGGAGTCTGCTTCTCCCTCTGACCCTCCCCTCTCTCATGCTCTCTGTCTCATTCTCTCTCTCAAATAAGTAAATAAAATCTTAAAAAAAAAAATAATTAAAAAAAAGAATAGGTTAGATTTATGTAATGATTGTGCCGATGGTTTGAAAAGAAAAAGAGGGCATGCGTGTGCTTGAGAATGCTCTTTTCTGTTAATTTGCTTAGCAAACACTCTCGGGCCAGTGTCCCCAGACCAGATGCCCACTGGGCAGTACAAAGCAGAGCTCAAAACGTGTATCTCGTCCTGTGTGATTTCCTTTTCATTATGTTTCATAACATTTGTGATGCGTCATGTAGTGGTACATGCACGTGATTTTTAAACAAATCTATTGCAAAATTTGGGGATGCACTTTTCGCACATATCTTGCAGGTTGAGGCACTAGAGAGTGACAGGACCGCCGCCTGCAGCTGTTGTCCCCTTGGGTGGGTGGGCTCCTGCCCACCAGACTGACCAGATTGGGTGGGGGCTGTCCCAGGAACAAGAGTTACCATGGTCGTTTTCAAAATAAAAATATCGACTACGTGTGTGTCATGCCTTATATGATGCAAAGTAGCATATACTCATACACATTCCCTTTTTATTAACAGCGGTTCTGCACTGGGTCATGCTTGCTTCTGCTATGCACTGATCTGCTCTTTTCCAGTCTCTGCGTATATCATTTTGGTGACAGCCCTGCGTTACCATTTATTTATATGGAGTGTGTTTTCTCCAAAACTTCTTTATGAGGGGATGCATATCCTCATCACAGCCGCCATCTGTGCATTCTTCACAGCCATGGATCAAACCAACACGAAGTCTTAGACACTGGAGAAACAATGTATTTTTAAAGTCTACGATTCACTTCATGCATTTGGGTAATGAAAAAAAAGTCTGTCTAAATGCAAGGACATTCTAAAGAAAATTGTGAATTCTACAAAGTTGAATAGTTGCAGTTTCTTGCACTGCTGTACTTGAATTTAGAGTACATAGTAGTTTAAAAGGTCACTTTAAAATATTTAGTTTGAATATGAATCATATTCCCCTGTTGACAATCACTCCATAAAGTTCTGAACTTTTAATTTCCTCTGGATAATAATTCACTCAAATATCTGTGTTTAAATTGATGAATAAAAAGGTTTCAGGCTTATTGTGGTGTTTGTGGACTTCAGAAAGCCAGGGAACTCTGGGAGAAGGCTTACCTGCTGCTGGAGTTTACCTCGAAAAACCCAGACCCCTTAATGACCCTAGAAACCACTGGAGGTCGCAAGGAGCATTAGTGTGTGTTACATCTGTCAACATTAAGACATTTCAAAAACTATTCGTTGAAAGTAAAGACGTAAACTCATTCCGTCTTAACATAGAATATTTTTAAGAGAAATAACTTTTCCAAAACAAGAATATCTACTGAGGAGAGTGGCATTGTTTTACATTTTTGCACATATCTTTAGTGTCTTAATTGAAGATTAAGTTCTTCAATTAGAGTAGGTTAGATTCTGCATTCAGTCTGTTGTCATACGTGTGTTTGAAGTAGTCACATAGATATGTAGTTGGGAAAGGGAGGAATATTTTATTTTTTATTTAAATTCAATTAATTAACAGTGTATTATTAGTTTCAGAGGTAGAGTTCAGTGACTCATAAGTATTATGTAACACCCAATGCTCATTACATCATGTGCCCTCCTTAATATCCATCACCCAATTACCCCATCCCCCACCCCCCTTCCCTCCAGCAACCCTCTTTGTATCCTATGACTAAGAGTCTCTTATGGTTTGTCTCCCTCTCTGATGAAAGGTAGGAATATTTCAAAATCCTTTTTCTAATCACCGTGGATGCTCTTTTTGGCACTGCACTAAAACATGACAAATGATGGTTCCTTAATGGTTAATTGGAGAAAAAGCAAGTGCATGCACAACAGGTGAAGCCCCATTAAGGTCTGCACCTGAGGTAACAAGATTACCTGGTTGACAAGTTCTCTGTCAGTATAAGATGCCATTGGGGGGAGCTGGGTGACTGTACGTGGATCTTTCTGTATGATTTTTGCAACTTCTTGTGAGATTTACACTATTTGAAAATGAAAGTTATTTTAAAAAGGAAAAGAATAGTTGCAGTGTGGAATCTGAAACCATGTCAGTGCCCTTTGCGTTCTGCTTTATTAAAAGTCACTGCTCTGTACTGTTCCCCAAATGGGTCTGTTACCCAGGTAGGATTCTGTAGCATCATGTGGAAATAACACTTCTCTGCAGATGTTGACACCGTACAGTATTCATTACCAAAAATCACTTGTTACATTGCCAACAGTCTCCTCAGAAAAGTCTTCCAGCATTGGAGGCTCACAGTGGCAGATGCAAGTTCTCCAAAACTCTTTAACTTACATCTTTTAATTTACATAATGATTTGATATTTGTATGCAAAATGGTCACCACTGTCAATCTAGTTAACATCCATCACCACACATAGTTACAATTTTTTCTTGCGATAACAACTTTTAAGATCTACTCTCTCTGAGATACGTAATACAGCATCTTAAACTGTAGTCACCATGCTGCATGTTATACCCCCAGGACTTATTTTATAACTGGAAGTTTATACCTTTTGACCCCTATCACCCATTTCACCCACCCTCCACCCCTGCCTCTCTGGCAACCACCAGTCTGTTTTCTGTATCGATGAGCTTGGTTTTTTGTTTGTTTAGATTCCACATATAAGTGAGATCATACAGTATTTGTCTTTCTCTGTCTGACTTGTTTCACTTAGCATAATGCCCTCAGGATCCATCTATGTTGTCACAAATGGCAAGATTTTCTTCTTTGTGTCTGAGTAATTTGTGTGTGTGTGTGTGTGTGTGCGTGCGCACGTCTACATCATGTTTTCTTTATCCATTCATCCATCAGTGGACACTTGGTTTGTCTTCATATCTTGGCTATGGTGAATAATGCTGTTATGAATGCAGGAGTGCAGATATCTTTTTGAGTTAGTGTTTTTGTTTCCCTCAGATAAATACCCAGAAGTGCAATTGGTGTATTATATGGTAGTTCTAGTTTTAACTTTTTGAGGAAACTCCATATCATTTCCACAGTGGCCACATCAATTTACATTCCCTCCCAACAGTGCACAAGGGTTCCCTTTCTCTACATCCTCATCAACACCATTGTTATTTCTTGTCATTTTGACGGGAGAGTGTTTCCTAATGTACAAATATTTAATATTTACAAATATTTAAGTTTTTTGTCACTTTCTAAAATTGTTTTATCTAGTTACAGTACATCTCCCACTTAATAATCCATTCTGAAAATCCATTGTTTCATGCTAAGACACTAACTGGGGATCTATTTTCCATTAGTTTAAATAAAAAACTATGAGAATGCAATACATGTCATACCCAAGCCCCCAACCAGTTCCCTATAATGTAACTACACATAGCAAAATGTCTACATGTAAGTACCAGGCTATCACGTTAGGGAGCAAAATGCTTAAAACTGGTTCCTGGTCATCAAATAGTTAATATGGTTATTAACTGGTGTCTTTTTTCCTAGCTTTTTAAAATAGAAACTTAGGGCGCCTGGGTGGCTCAGTTGGTTAAGCGACTGCCTTCAGCTCAGGTCATGATCCCAGGGTCCTGGGATCGAGTCCCACATCGGGCTCCCGGCT